TCAGTCTCCAACCCCTGTGGAAGAATCTAGATGTGCTCCAACAGAAGAGATGTTGTGTCAGGCTTTTTCTCATGTCATCCTTGAGCCTGGAGACTTAGATGTGGAAGATGGTGATGATGCAAACCTGTGCAGCAGCTATGTGAAGGACATCTACAAGTATCTGAGACACCTGGAGGTTAGTAGGCATCTACTGACACTTGCAGTGAGCCTGTCCCTGTAGGCATGGCTTGGAGCTGGTATTTGCTTTCACCTGTAGTTCCTCCAGAGGTATTAATAAGCACTCCCTCAACTTAAAAGACAAGATTAAACTGAGCTGATAACATGAACAGATGCTGGTTGTTAGACCAATCAACTAATAGCACTAGTACTATGCTCCTTCTAGCCAATGTCTAGTAAATAAGGAAACCTTTGTGCTCTGTGGCCTCCACCTATGGGCTGCGTCTGTACCAAACTCCTTGATAAGGATAAAGACAGCAGAAGAAGAAAAGGCCTCAAGCTGTGCCGGGGAGGTTCAGGTTGGACACAAAGAAGAATTTCTTTACTGAATGGATGGTCAGGCATTGGAATGGGCTGCTGTAACAGTTTGTTAGGATACATGCCCAGAATAAAACAAGTGCACAGATATTCAAACACACAAAATATCTTTATTACAGTGAAAATAGTAATAATAACAATAATCTTAGTGAAAAGAACCAAAAACTAAAGAGATACAAAATAACCACCTTATCGTGTGGTCTTAAAACAAATACTACGAACAGCATTCAATATAGTGTAATCTTAACTAATAAAAAGGGATACCAAAAAAAGGAATCTTAGCACAATATTATGGATAACACGATATTGGTTAGTAAAAGGGGAAATTAAAGGAAAAATACTATGAACAACTTATTCAATAATAAAGGGGAATTAAAGGGACACTAAAAGGATTAAAAGGTTAAAAAGTTTGTTCTCTCGGTTGCTTCCTATCAAAAAACTGTGCTTACCCACACAGACAGGCCAGGGCTACCAGGATCTGCAGCAGCTGGTCGGTACTCATGCTTAGCGGGCGTCCCCGCGGAGCAACACAGTCTCGGTAGTAGGATGAGTATCGCTCAGCTCAGCAGTCCTGACAGCCCATTTTTATCAGTTCCACATTACACTACGTAGGGCCAGTACGCAGTATAAGGTGATGCCTGAACGGCAGCCAAACACTGCCTAATCATTACCTAATGGCAACAGTCTGCGCATGCCCTACTTGTGGGGCAAGGGGCGAGCGACCCCTGCCCACATAATCTTCCTCCCATCATCATCTTTCTCACCCCTATGTATGACTTCTACCATTGTGTTTCAAGGGTAGATGTATCTATCTTGCAGTATGTAGCAAAACCAAGGAAGAACTCAGCTCTGATAATAGGGGATATCAGGCTGACTTGCTAAAAAGCACAATGGACCTTACAATTAGCTTGTGCCATGAAGTTACATTGTACCGTACTCTAGCTGGTTTCACATCCTATTATGATTTTCTTTATCACCCTCTATGCTCCATTGATCATCTAATTCAAAAGTACCCCCTTACAGCTGCCCAGGGTGGTGATGGAGTCACTGTCCCTAGAAATGTTCAAGAAACAACTGGATGTGGCATTTAGTGCTATGGTCTAGTTGGCAAGGTGGTGTTCAGTCATAGGTGGACTCGATCTTGGAGATTTTTTTCAGCCTTAAATGATTCTATGATTCTAAGACCTATACCTTACAATGCCACTGAGGCTAGCCTTTGCAATTACTTCAGCTAAATGACTATATCTCTTAACTCTATTCCTTCCACACAGGAAAACAAACCTGTCAAATGCAAATACCTGGCTGGACAGGAAATTGATGGGAACATGCATGCTGTAGTAATAGACTGGCTTGGGAAAGTATATATGAAATTCAACCTGCAGGAGGAGACCTTGTTCATGATTGCTGATATCATTGATCACTTCTTGCAGGTGAGTGTCTCTTGCCCGGTGCCAGGCAATGCTTTTCTCCCAAGCTAAAGCACAACGAGTGTTGATCAGTAACACCATACATGGTTGGATGGAGGAGTCGGATTACAGGAAGGATGCTGGTTGAGGCATCCTGGGAAATGAAGTCCCGAAGTACTCCCACACATGGGCAGTGAAATGCCCTTGGTGGTTGGTCAAGAGAGTCAGGTGTTACTTTGAAACCATGATTAAAGAGTGGTGTTTGTTTTGAATAAAGGGATTTGGCTCTGAACTCCCAAGAAGCTAGTCGGGTCTGTGTAAGTTATTTACTTATTATATTAATAAGCCACAGTTGGACATGTTACCCTTAGCAAAATACAGTTGAACAACAAAGGACATTTGGTCCTCAGTTGTGTGCACCACATAAACCTCAGCTATGAGCAGTGACTTGATGTCTCAAAACTGCTTACTCCTCTCCCTGATTTGATCTCAAAGCTTTCTAATCCCCCTGCAGATCCCAACAGAGGTAACAGAGAATGTATAGTTATTCTGTATGGGCCAGTATGAATCCGCCATAGAACACACCTTACACTGACTACCATGAAAACCTGTGTTCTGAGGCAAATCTATCAAATAAATCTCTACTGCTTTTTGCTACAGAACAATCCTGTTCCCAAGATAAAGTTGCAACTGCTTAGTATCACAGCTTTGTTCATTGCCAGCACATATGAAGAGATACGGTCCCCACATATTGCAGATTTTAGCTATGTAACCAATTACTCTTACTTGAAGTTCCAAATCTGCCAGATGGAGATGACAATCCTGAAAGCCCTGGACTTTTTTTCTGGGTTTCCCTCTCCCTCCGTGCTTCCTGAGGAGAGCTTCAAATATTGCAGAGGTAGTGTTGAGAATAGGTGTTACTGTAACCTATATCTGGAAAAAGCAACTTTTGTGTCTTCTTAAAATGTTTCAAATCTTTTGAGTACTGCAAGAGTTCAGCAACTGAGCCCTGTTGAAATGGGTCTTATTTGTCTCTTCTGTGAAACGAGCCTCACACACCCAAACTGGGTGTTAAAATGCTTGTCTAATACTGTAGGTAACTGCTAGACTGCCATTGAAAGGAGTGGTCCTAGACTATTAGCAGCCTAATACAACTCAGAACTGCTCTGTGATTAAACCACTTGAACTTTAGTCTGTAGTTCTGAAAGTGTCCCTAAGGATGTATTTCTTCTTTCTTGACTAAACCAAGGCTAGACGGGGTACTCTTGCCTTGGATGTAGCCAATACTTAACTCTGACTTAACTGCAGGTGGACTCCAAACAATATGTTCTTGCCAAGTACCTGATGGAGTTGTGCATTGTCGACTATGATATGGATCACTTCCCTCCATCCAGGATTGCAGCAGCTGTTTTCTGTTTGCCTCTGAAACTCCTCAGTGGATGTGAGTTGGTAAATTGTACTTGTCAGACCACCTCCTAGTTTGAGACTCAGTGTGCCTGTGCACCAGTTTAAAAGGCCACTCTAGGCCAGGTGCATGCCTCCTGCTTTCCTCATGGTATTTCACCATGTTCCCGTCTCCCTGTCATCCACTACGAGGGAATAGCAGCAGGGCAGTACCTGTTAACCTCCCACTGTGAGACAAGAGAACACAATTACCCAAGCCAGACTGAAGACCAAGAACATAGTGTACTTGGATTATTCTAATGGGTTTGTCTAATAGCTTCCTTGCCTTTCAGTTACCATTTCTGCAACACTACATGTTTTACGCTGAGGGTGACCTTCTACCAATTATGCAGCATATGGCAAAGAATGTAGTCCTTGTAAATAAGGATGTTGCCACCAGAAGGTAAGAATCTTACAGTGCGAGGCGGGGGGGGGCTATGTGTGGTTAAGTGTCAGTACATGGTGTGCTGGGGCTACCTTAGCTGAGCCACTGTTGTCAGACTTGGATAAGACCTACTTACTTCCGTTGAAAATCTACCTCACTCAAATGGTGTGAGCCAGCTGTAACCCATGCTTTTGTGCTAGAATGGGCTTGGCTTGACCACCAAGTCTTAAGTGAGCTGGAATAGCATTATTTCATGAACAGGGGAAAACATAATCTTATTTCCCTGTAGGTAATCATGAAGAAATATGCCACCAGTACCAACATCAAGATAAACACCTTCAAACAGTTGCGCTCTTCTATTACACAGAAGCTAGGTGAGCCTCTAGTCAAAAAGTTGGAACTCGCAGAATGCTCCTCACTGTATACATAAAGTATCTTATCTGTGTTAAACTTATTAAAGATGTGCTACTATTTGTGGGGTTCTATCGGGGGGTGGGGGGGGGGGGGGAGGGAGGGAGGAGGAGGGCAGTACAGGGCTTCTACAGTTGGGGCACCTCCCTGGAGGCTGTGACCAGTACTGTGAGAGCTTGAGTGAGCTCTTGGGCCAGCCCAGGTGGTGTGGCTGGTCCTCCCTGGAGGTGTATAGATGGGAGCACTGGTACCAGCTCTGCTAATGTGTGGCAGAGTGTCTGTCAGATTAGACTCAGAGAGCAGCATAGAGTTGTGTAAGGTGGATGGTCTGTTCAGCCTGGTGGCAGAGCTGAGAGAGGAAGGAGAAAGGCTGGGAAGTATTGGGGACTCTGAGGAGGAGGTCAACTGGTGAAGCTGTACTCTGCCTTCCCTAAGACAAACACACCTGCTCTCCAAGGTTGCCAGACCTTGGAACAGGCTGCCCAGAGATGTGGTAGAGTCACCATCTCTTGTACTGTTCAAAAGAAAGTGTGAATATGGTCATGGTTTAGTGGTGAACACGATGGCTGTGCCGGGTTGACAGCTGCACTTGATCTTAAGGTCTCTTTTAACCCTAAAGTCTATGGTTTTAAAGAGTGCAGGTCTATTCACTCAGTATGTATTTATGGTAGTATACTTGTGAGTTGTGTTAGTGGCTTACACCTGCTGGCTCTACCTCTAGGAGAACAGTAGGTCAGACAAAAGGATTACTGCGCTTTGCCTGCTGCTCTCAGCTTTGCTTTTTTTGCCTCCGTTGCACGAACCACCCACACATTCCCGCGCTGCCCTCAGGCCGGGCCCCGCCCCACTGCTCTGCGCAGGCGCGGGGCGCGCGGGCCGCCGGGAGCTGCGGGGTTTGAGTGAGGGCGATGGCGGCAATGTCCTGGAAGTTGGAGCAGGAGCTGGAGCAGGGCAGGGCCCCAGCGTGGCCCCAGGGCGGCCACGACATGGGTGTCCTCAAGCTGCTCCGGTCAGTGCTGGCGGGACGGGACGGGGAGCAGCCTGGGGGAGTGGGATGGCGGGATGTGCAGCGTCTGACCGTTGTCGCTTTTCCCCCGCCGCAGCCTGCGGGACCAGATGAAGCAGCAGCTCATGGAGTACAGCGCGGCCGTTCGTGGCGGTAAGCACGCCCCTCCTCCCATCGGGATCTTACACTGTCTAATAATGCGACGTGGCTAATATATTTATATGTTTTTAATTATCCTTTAAAAGTGCTCGTTACAATAATGAAATATTTTTCTTGGCTACGCGTTTTACCGCGTTTTCTAGGCGGCTCTTGAGACGTGTTTGAATGCTTACAAAGATGCCGTATGGTTGTCGCCCACTGCCCTTTCCCCTCTTTTCTGGGTTTGCACTTTAGACTCCTCTGACATGTCATGAGGGTTTTCAGGAATCTGATCACTGGGGCTGAAGTCTTGCCAAAAGTCTGCCAAAGTGCAACAATACTGATTTAAGGTGTTTCAATCATCTGAGGACTTCCAGGGTGGTCTGTCGATTATCTGTCTGGGCAAGGAGGGTACCAAGATGGGGTATCATAGAATTACTTGGGTTGAAAGAGACTTTAAAGACCATCTGGTTCCACAGCCTCTGGCATGGACAGGGACACATTCCACCAGACCAGGTTGCTCAGAGCCCCATCCAACCTGGCCTTGAACACTTCCAGGGATGAGGTAGCCACAGCTTCTCTGGGCAAGCTGTGTCAGTATCTCACCACATTCAAAGTAAGGAAATTCTTCCCTATATCTAATATAAACTTGCCCTCTTTTGATTTAAAGCCATTCCCCCTTGTCTTGTCTCTACATGCCCTAGTAAAAAGTTTCTCTCCAGCTCACTTGTAGGCTCCCTTCAGGTAGTGGAAGAACTTGGTAAGATCATCCCAGAGTCTCTCTTCTCCAGGCTGAACAAATCCCGTTCTCTCATCCTTTCCTCATAGGAGAGGTGCCCCAGCCCTCTAATCAATTTCATTGCACTTCTCTGGGCTTGCTCCAACAGATCCATGACCTTCTTATGTTGGGAACCCCAGAGCTGGATGCAGTACTCCATGTGGAGTCTCACAAGGGCAGTCAAAGGGCAGAATCACTTCCCTTGATCTCCTGGCCACACTTCTGATGCAGCCCGGGATGTGGCTGAGTACATCACTTCCTCTGAACCATCCAACTGCATATATAGAGCAATGCCACAAGCCAGCTCTAGCACATCTAAAAAGTGCTAAATGAAAATATTTAAAAATCTAATTATTTCTCTGATACAGCTGATTGATAATATAGTCTCAGTAACAGTAAAAGAGATTATAAAGCTTGGAGATGGAAATAAGAAATAGCTTGCTTGCACAAAAAATGCTGATCCTTTATGCTCTATAGATTGTATGTAAAAGTCTACACTGGGCTTTCTTTAGTGATGTTCTCTTTTGCAGGTCAAACAACTTTCCTTGATCAGGTTGTTGAGGAAAAACATATTCAAGGGTATGTCACTGGATAACTTTGAACTTTTAATGTATTTTAAAATAAAAAGGAGAATGGTTAGAAGCTGAACTTGGAGGTTCTCTTCTAGTTACTTCTGCTTAGTGAATCTCTGGATTAACAATCAGTACTTTGCAGCAGTTTGGTGAAAATAATGAAAATTAAGAGAAAATGTGGGGAAGAAATGCTTTACTCGGTCTCCTAATGTAGTTCTCTATGTGATGTTGCTTCTAAATTTGCAGTCCTTCATGTGATTGCTAGAATTCTCTAATATAGTCCTACATGCTAAATTACTCCTAGCCCTTATAATTTGTGGTTCACATGAAAAATTTTTACATTATATATGTAGAAAAAGGTTAAAATGTGACATTACTTTTAAACTTTTTGTTATCTTCACACTGGGTTTGTCTGTTTGTTTTTGGTTTTTTTTTCCCTTCAGTATCACAGAAGATTTGCAAATAAATAAAGAGGAAATAGAAGTCTCTTTCTGGAACAAGACATTGGCCTTGCAAAGGTAGAATTTTCTTCCCCCTTTATTTGGAGTTTTCCTCCCTATGTGTGCACACATAAATACATATATACATAAGTCTTGTTAAAATGGAATTTCAAAGTGGTATGAGGAGGTGGGGAGATTTTAGTACCATTGAACCATAGGAATGCAGATGGACAGGCGTAGAGAACAAAAAAAAACCCTACCAGATGAAATGCATAAACAGAAAAGTTCCCTCACAGTTGCAATAGTGTGACTGTATAAATCAGTAAACATATTTCTTGGACGTATTTTATAAGTGCATATGAAAAGGTAGAATTTGATAATGTTAGACATCTCCTGTGTTACATTGCTGTTCATTTGAATTTCCACCTTTGCCCAGCTTCCTTTCTGCGCACTCTAGGATTAATCATGTCTGGGTATGTTTGGCAAGAGAGAAAGGAGTTGTCACTCTCACAAATAATCATCAATACTCCTTCCATGTCCTGAGAGTTAAGCTCTGTTATTTAAGTGTGATATTTACAATGTACTGAGTATTTTGTATATATAATTCCGATATGACAGTAGACATAAATGGAATCTTGGAAATTACCTTTTTCTGTTACTTATTTAAATCTGCTTCCCTCAGTTTCCTGCTTCTCTCAATTTCTTATCAGTTCTCATCAGTCATACGTTATTCCTTACACTATGCAGGATCCAGCTTATGGCTGCCCTGAGAAACAAAGTGAATCAAGATGGTAAAGACTCATGGTAAGGTGTTCTTTGGAGTCAGATGGCTAGAAAGGAATGGACTTTGCGCATCATATTGTGACACATTTCTAGATTACTTCATTGTACCTCTTTTGAAAGCAAGCTTCCTTCTTCTAGGTTTGACTGAATGATATACTGTCTACTGTCTGGTTAGAATCAACATGATCAGACCTCATATACCCACAATGGATTTACATTTGGGCTCTGAATTAACCAACCTTTGCTTATAGAGATCGTAACTTTTGATTCACCAGTGAAAACTACTTGTAGCTGAGAGAGGTTTTTTTGCCTTTGGGGCCTGAGTTACCTGCATTTACAATAGTTGAGAACATATTATGGGCTTGTAACTGGGCCTGGCCTCTACTTTGCTGTCCTTACTAATTATTCATGTGGGAACAAAGAGACTTTGAAAAAGAACTGAAAGAATAAACATGTTTAAAATTAGCTTTTAATTTCCTACCCAATATTAATGGGAACACACGTATGAAGTGTAATGTGAGAAATTTAATTTCTGTCAGAAATGCAGCTGAAGAGATTGCATCTCTGTAATGTCTCTGCCACATGTCAGAATTCAGGACCTTTAATTCATAGCCATTCCCAGGTGGCTAGGGTTCTTTGATGTCTTCCATGCTCTATGATTTCAAAATGTTAAACAGATTTAACCAAAACCTTAGGGAAACTGAGAGGGAAATTGAGAGGGAAATAAGGGGACTATTTGGCCCCTACAATGATACTTAGTACATTAACTGTAAAAAAGAAAGGGTGCAGACACCCAACATTATTTTGGTGTCAGGACAAATGGGAAATTCTGTATTTAAACCAAATAACCTTGATAAAAACATTTATGATGTTGACTTATATTAGTGGTCTTAAGGTGTGCAACTGTGTTTCCTTTCTTAGTCTGATCCTGGAAACAGTGAATCGCATAGCGTTGCTAAGCCGGACAATAATCAAATATCAGCAGGTAAGTGGCAACTGTAGCTTCTGTTACAGTTGTGCAGGTCAACCAACCTCAGCATGGGCAGGAGTGCACTTTGAAAGCAACAGGACTGCACAAGTCATTTAAAGCTAAGTATGTGGAGCAAAGGTTCTTACTGCTGTCAAAATTACTGAAATGATTACTTGAAGAGAGTATGTAAGAAAGTCTGCTTCTACAGCTGCTCTTAACTGCTTTTGTGGATTGAATTAGTGTCTTTCAATATTTTTTGGAGACAAGAGTCTAGGAAATACTTTTTTTTTTCCTTTCAGCTAGCACATGAGAAGAAACAGAAGTTGATTGACATTAAAAGGAAAAGAGTCTGTAAGTTTGTTAGCTGTATGGACTTTGTTTTGTATTTGAACATACAGTTCATATTTTGAAGTTGTTCTTATAGCAATATTAATTTATATGTGAAGTAACAAAACTCTCAACACAATTATAAAACTTCTTAAAAGAGTAGGAAGTCCTACAGAAATGAACTGATGTGTTGCCTACTTGAGCATGAGACTGCCATGTTGTAATGAGAGATGCAAGAAAATACTCAAAACCAACGTGGCAGCATTTTATTATTTGGTGTAAGCTCACCAGGAAATTACACATCATTTAGTAACTTAAATCAGCCCTACAGCACTTGAGAGATTTTTTTTTTTGTCAGACTGCACCTTTTTGAGGTGTTTGCGGAATAGGGAGGGGATTTACTTATCAAGAACTCTCATAATAGTACATATATATAGTCTTGTAAGAATGGGTCAAATTTAGATGTGAAGTCACTATTCAGAACTTTGTAAGGTAAATGTGTTTTTTGAATGCTCCCACTGTCATGACCGGATTTGCCACCGTTTTTTAACGGCTATTGTTCGGTTCACACGTGAAGAGTTGTGTATATGTTGACAGTAAGGAACAAACACAATGAAATAACTGTTTTCATATGAAAAATTACATCGTTGATATCCTTGCAAATAAGGGATGGAATGCTTTGCAGCATTCTTTCAGTGTATGAACTGTCCCTTAATGGTTTTAATCAGTCTAGCTTTTAGCCAGGTTTCCTATAAAAATAGTAATATTCGCTGGTCATGTCCGTATGTTCCTTGTACAACTTTGGAATTTGATTTCATCCAAATCTAAAAGAGGGGAAATGGTCTTAAAAATCTATAAAAATACCTATAAAAGTTGTGGAAGTCGAAAACAGGATATAAGACATGTTGAAATTACAGTCCCTATCTGAGAGAAATGCAGACAGCATACAAGGTACTTTCTGTTCTGCTGACAACCAGGGAACAAATTGATGTAGTTTGATACCAGATAACCACAGCATGTGTTGCCTCTTATGTGAAAGAAATATCTTGAGGCATATTGGAGGGAAAGGGTGGAGTGGGAAGCTAGGGTTATTGCAGTGGAAGTTCTTTAGGTGGCTATGAGGAAAAAAGAGTATATTTAGTTCTACTGCTCACTTAAGTACTTCTTAACACTTCATCTTCCTAATGATGGAACAGCACTTAAAAAAGACCAAAGAAGAAAACTACAGCAAATTCAGACTATGAAGAAAAAACAAAAGAAGGAAAAAGGAAATATGAACCTGGTTGAAGCAAAGATGCTTCAGAACTTAGAAGAAGAAAGATTGTTGACTACAGTAATTCAAAATGTGTTTCAGGTAATGTGTTATGTCTTTTAGAACCAAATTTGCAATTTTTCATTACAATCAAGATAATATAGTATATGGCAAATGTAACTTCAACAACACAAAATTGGGTTTTCTAGAAACTATATGTAACAGTAGTAATAGAAAAACTGCTGTATGAAAGGAAGACGTTTGTTGCTTTAGAGGCTAAAAACATGAAATCATCACAAACTTCTTTGGAGTAATTATTTACAGAGTTTAGAGACAGTCTATTAATCTGTATTTGTTCAAAAGTACAAAAGCTACAAAAATAATGCATTTTCTTTTAGAACATCTGTCACAGCAATTGCTGTGTTTCATTATACTATGAGTCATCTTTGCACCCCACCAAATCAGCTTCCCCCATCTCACAGTTAGGAAAAATAAATAGGTGTTAATCCCATGTTACCACTGAACCTCCATCTGCTCCTGACCACATGCCCTCTGTGTTTGTGTCACCCACTGAAACCCTCTGAAAGCCTTGGCCTGCAGCCGCAGCCTGTCTCCAGATTTTTTCAGCAGCATAGCCTTTGCCCTTTCAGTTCCACATGTGTCAGGTTCTGCTGACTAGTCTGTATCCATGCAGCTGGCTGGCAGGTCATCTGGAGTGTGGAGTCATGCAAAGTGAGGAAGAAAACCTCATGATCTGGGGTAGGGTGGAAAGGTCTCAGGCAGAGAAAGAATTTCAAAGACAGTGTGTCACATCTTTTTGCACTGCATGGTATGGCTAGTACAATTGTGCATTGATCACATTGTTACATCTCAAATTGAGAATGAGAAGTTAAACATTTTAGTGGGCTTAAAAGTGGAGTCCTAGAATTATCTCCTGGTTTTGTATTCCTGAAGTTTTCTGAGCCGTACGTAGAGCAAATCTTTGGTTAAATTTAAATTCCCATTTTCAGTCCAAAATGGCAGGGTGAGAATGCTGGTTGTATTATTTTGTGTTTGAGGCAAACTTTATTTCAAAAAAACCCCTCTAATTTTCTGTGTTTAAAATAGGGGTAGTGTGCAAGCACCTCTAGGAAATTAAAAACTTTGCTTTTTTTTGTCTGTGTATTGACAATAGGATCTAAACCAATACTTCCCTTTTTCCTCTTTCCCCCCATTCTTCCTACTTCAAACCCTGTTGAGGATTTCAAGGGCTTTCAAATTAAAAATTAAAAACCAGACTTTATTTGAGATATTTTATTGGGCTTGTTTTAATCGATAAGTCTTCCTTTTTTACAGAATATCATAATTGGAAGCGGAGTTAACTGGGCAGAAGATCCGTCTTTAAAGGCGATTGTTCTACAGCTTGAAAAAAATGTCCATCTTCCATGAATCAGGAGAAATGGTGTTTAATTTTATTTGCATTGTAATATATTAATTAATATTAATTAATTAATATATTTTAATTTTTAACACACATCAATAATTTTTCAGTTTAACCTTTCAGAAAGTTGTTTTTCTCTCTAGAGACTCAGAATGTGTCCACACAACTCTGTGAAGTGAAATTAAATTTCTGGCACACAACAAATGTTTGAATGGGTAATGCAACTGATGAAATGAAACTACCTGAAGACCCACTTCATAGCTGTCCTGTCCGAAGACCTCATCTCTCTCTGAAAGACAGCAATATGCAAGAAAGATGAATAATCTCTGTATTTCAAGCTTTTATGTAAAAGTGGACTTAAACTAAGGCTCTGCTGTCCTCTTTTCCTGCGGATGAGCAGGCTGCAGAGCTCGGGCATGGTACCTGACTCTGCTCTGTCCCAGTGGAAAGCCGAAGCTGGAAAAACTTTTTAGCAAGTTTTTACAATTGGGATTTTTTTGCTATTAAAGCACTTTGTGTAATTTGAAACAGCAGAATTATTATACTCTTAGTTCTTTTAACAGCCTTTTAACAGTTCTTTTAACAGTTCTTTTAACTTGTGTTTGAAGTGGTGACTTCATGCTATCGACTGTGCAGCTAAGCAGTGTTTTATCTACATATTTTTGCCAGCATTTGCTTTCTTTTTTTGTTTATTTGATGTTCAAATGAAGTTTAAGCCTAGGGTGTATAGCATGTTTCGGGACATGTACTGTCTCTTTCTATCTTAGGGTATATTGTCACTTTTAACTTGATGACTAACTAGCAATTTTTTTAGATGGGCTTTTATCGAATAATAAGAATAAAACGCTGATTTGACTCAAAAGGCTTGATTTGGTTTGAGTATTTTTTACTGATGAGGCTGAGGCGCTGTGTTTGGTTGCGCAGGCCCCGCCTGCCGCAGGCGTTCCCCCGGTGTGGGCGGGGTCGGGCGCTGCCCGCCGGGCTCGTCACCATGGGCAGCAAGATGGCGGCCGCCACCAGGGCGGTGCAGGTAAGGGCGGCCTCGGGACAGCGGAGGGGTGAGGCAGCCGGAGCCTTGCGTCGTGTGGCGGGGCTCTCTTCGCCTGGTGCCGCCGCCGAGAAGGAGACCTGAGGCGGTCGTGGCTTGAGGACACGCCGCCGGAGCGGCCGGTGTCCTTGGGAAGAGGCGTACGGTGTCGCCCACGGGTGTCGCAGGTGCTGTGATAGCAGAGGGTGCGGCGCTGGCCGGCAGCTCCTTCCTAGGCTCACCCTCTCCAAGGTGAAAGCATTTTGTACAGGCAGAACGTACAGGTCGCGGTTCCGTCTGCTAGAGCTTTATGGAACCACAGGATGGTGTGGGTTGGAAGGGGCCTTAAAGGTCACCTCGTTCCAGCCCCCCTGCTCTAGGCAGGGACACCTTCCACTATCCCAAGTTGCTTAAAGGTCTATGCAGTCTGGCCTTGGACACTTCCAGGGATGGGGCAGCTAGAGCTTCTTGGGCAACCTGTGGCCGTGCCTCACCCCCCTCACAGTAAAGAATTTCTCCATTATATCTAGTATAAATCTGCCTTCTTTGGGTCGTAAGGTCCCCCCGGAGCTTTCTTTTTCCCAGGCTGAACAACCCCAGGTCTCTCATAGAGACCTCTCCTCATACAAGAGGTGCTCCAGCCCTCTGTTCGTTATGGCCCTGCTCTGGACTCACTCCAGCAAGTCTTGTTTTGGGGATCCCAGAGTTGGGCGCAGCACTCCAGGTGGGATCTCACCAGAGCAGATTGCATTGTGATTGCATTTTTGCAACAGCAGTGGCTGTTTCTGCACACAATGATGTTGCTGTGAGAAAAGGAAGATAACACCTGTGAGTGGTCTGGACATCAGAGTGCAGGAATAGCTTTAAAAGTGAAATTTCCTGGGGTAAACTTAGACCTTTAAGAAGTAGTAAGTGTATCAGAGTAGTAGTGCAGAGAGCAGCAGTATAGTGTGGTTGTTTGATACATTGTACATTCAATTTTATTATTTTGAAGGTAACTGGCTTCTAGAAATACATTTTATGCTTCTTGTTTCTCCCACTACCTTGCTTTGTTCTAGGTAGTCAAGCCACATACTCCGTTAATTAAGTTCCCTGACAGAAAAAGTGGTCCCAGACCTAAAAGTAAGTATTTCATGCATGGATACAGCTTGTGCCACATTTCTTTACATGGACTGTTTTATATAGTAATAAGCACACAATTTTTCTCTTTCAATATCTAACTCAACTGATTTGGAGCAGGATTTTTGAAACATGCTTGGTTTAGTTTGAGGGCAACTCTTTGTCTCTTTACAGACTCTACGAATCTGTGTACACATATAATGCATGCATGTCTTTATTGCTTGATCAAGAAAGATTCACAAAGGTTTCCAGTGCTGCTTTTCTACTTTTATATATATAAAAGTCACATTTTTCCAAATACTAATATTTACCTGAAATAACTGTGCTCAAGTCAATTTGAAGCAGCTTTAGATATTCAGTGATATTTGCAGAAATGATGTTGCATTTTCCTCATCTTTTCTTAGTTGAAGTGTGCAATGTCTGCCGTATTTTCAAAACATGATTATAGCTGGGAGAGCCATTCCACTCTACATTTTAGAAATATTTCCTCATGTTACTAATTAATGCTGAGGAAAAAAATAATTTCATTGCAATCTTTGCCATTAACTTTTATACCTGTATCTATGTTGGTATTTATGGTATTCCCAATACTGTTATATTTAAACCTCAGATTTATATTAGCAATATGTTGTTTTAGTAGTCCTCTGGGATCAACAAAACATCTGAAATGAAAGTAGGAGATGTCTTAATATTGACTGGTGATGCCTGATACTTGGTGGTCATTCTGCATGTGACTAACAAAATTTGATATGGTGCCATTTTTTAATATTAAAGATGGGTACAGCACTGCATTGCATGTTATAGTCTGCTGTTGTGGTTGTAAGCTTATCTTTTTGTAAGATTTTACCTCTTTTTCGCTTGTCTGTCTTTACAGTTGTCATAAACGAAAAATGATCTTAGTTGGCTTAGTTATCTCTCTACATAATTGCTCACAAACATACCTTATAGTACTTTATGCTTTTTCTCCAAGTACAGCTTCCCAGTGAAAAAGCCATTGTTAGCGTATGTGCTGATGTATCTTCTGTTTCTACATCAGTGTTTCTGCCACTCAAACACGCTTTATATTACTGTCAGAACTTTTAGATTCTGCGCTTGATGCATTTAACAACAATAAAACCAGGTTGTAAGAAAAAGAGTGACTTAATTCTAAGATTTTCAAGCACTGGTATCTTTTATTGGTTGCTTATTAATTTTACAGACTGGTAGTATTTCTGTAAATTTTGCAATCTGGGTTTCAGTACAGGAATCTCTACAACCACATGTGCCATCTCTCCATGCTTCAAAAGCACAAGAGTCTGTAGGAGGCAGATCACCAGCATTTCAAAATATTTCACCTGTTAGTAGAGTACAAGGTACACCAGACACTTCTGAATTAGCGAAAACCTTACCTCAGAAATACAGAAGGAAACAAATGTCAGATGAAGAGATTGAATATATTCAAGTAAGTTTTCTTCTTTAGCTTATTTCTACACCTTCTTCTGTGGTATTACATTCTAATTATTGTGAAGTGTACTGCTCTGATCTTTCATGGCTTTGATGCACAATACCCAAGCTACAAATTCTTAAAACAGAAGGTACCCAACTCTCACTGATTAGTAGCTTGTGGTATTGCTGAGCAGAGAGATGTGGACTTAGAACAGACATGCAGGTAAGCTAGCGACAGTCATAGCCTATGTTAATCACCATCACTACCTGCTTTATAACAGCTGTTTAATATGTAATTTGACTGTACTGGACATGAGCACAGGAGTCTGTTCTTAGCAGAGGCTATTATCAGGTAATCAAAGTCCAAAATATTTCTCAAACTAGTTTTCTAAGTTCCATATTAGTAAATGAGCTTGTATTTCTGGTAGTAAAAAACTTTATTAAATTTGATATAAGTATTTTCTACAATATTTGCAAATATGGCTTTGTACATGAAAGGCAAGAAAAGCCTGCTTCTTCTGTAAGAATTCTTAGTTGTAAATACTGAATGCACAAAATATACAGAATTCGTGAAGTGATTGTGAGTTTGAAATGAAAAGATGCTTGCAAAGCTTTGTTAAATGATAAGGACACGTACAGCATAATGATGTTAGTAGAGAATATCAGTTTTCCTGAAAGTATGTGGGTAGGCTGCATCAATGTAGTAGAAATAAAATCACTTATTCCAATAATAATACACTTCTTGACCTCTAGCATAAAGTTTCTTAACAGTGAGTTAAGTTGTAAAATAATTTGTTTGGGAAGATAATGAACTGAATAACTTTCTAGTTTCTCATAAAGGCTCACCTTGGCTTTTGTTTTTTACTTTGCACTTTGGAATGTGGGCAGTGAGAGTAATTTTAAAACTTGTGTTCACTACCATTGTGTTTGTTGGACCTTTCTAGGGTTAGTCTCAGGTCTCTTCAGAGAAGGAGAAGTAGAAGCAGCTGTAACTGTGGGTTGCATGTGTTAATTTTTTTTTAATTCTCCTTTGAAAAAAATTGAACTGTTATTGGCAGATGCTGATATTTGACACTCTGTTCATGTTCTTATACAGATTAAAAAAATCAATATTTTAATCAGAAATTAAAACTAGAACTCTGTTAGTCTACAGTAGTGCAAAAGAGGATTTTATCTCAGTTTTACATTCAATAGAATTGAAATTTAACTGTATGCTTTTCTTCTACAGCGTGGAGGTCCAGAATAAGTGTAGAAGATAGTTTGCTGGCCACCGCTCAAGAATGAAGTACTACATTCACAATAAAGGCATTTCCTTAATATTAAAAATTATTGTATACTAATAGCTTTAATAAAAACCCATATGATGGGTGACAAGGTTGACACAACACATAAGATACCAATTTGTGACCGAGAAGGATTTTCTGTTGGTGGGTAACTAGCAATTGAATCTGCACCATTAAAATATTTTTCTAATTAGCCATTTGCAAAGTCAACAATTTAGCAGTCATTTGATTTTTCTACTGATTGAGATCACAAAATGACAGAATGGATAAGGTTGGAAGGGACCGCAGTGGGTCATCTGGTCCAACCACCCTGCTCAAGCAAGATCATCCCAGAGCACATGGAACAGGATTGTGCGCAGGTGGTTTTTGAATTTCTGCAGTGAGGGAGACCCCACAACCTCTCTGGGCAATCTGTTCAGTGTGCAGTCACTCACACAGTAAAGAAGTTCTTCCTTGTATTCAGGTGGAACTTCTGCACATCAGTTTCTTGCCTATCACTGCTTGTCTTATTGCTCAGCACCACCAAGAAGAGCCTGGGTCCATCCTCTTAACACCTTCCCTTCAAATACTTGCATACATTGATGAGGTCTCCTCTCAGTCCTCTCTTCTCAAGGCTGAACAAGCCCAGTTCCCTCAGCCTTTCCTCACAAGAGAGATGCTCCAGTTTCCTTCATCGCCTTTGTAGCCCTCCTCTGGACCTGCTCCAGGAGCTCCATGTCTCTCTTGTTCTGAGGAGCCCAGAACTGGAGACAGCACTCCAAGTAAAGCCTCACCAGGGCTGAGTAGAGGGGCAGGATCAGCTCCCTCGACCTGCTGGCAATGCTCTTCCTAATGTACCCCAGGATACCATTCACCTTCCTGGCCATAAGGCCTCACTGCTTGCTTGTGGACAGCTCGCTGTCCACCAGGACCCCCAGGTCCTTCTCCACAGAGCTACTTCCCAGCAGGTCAGCCCCAGCCTGTGCTGGTGCAGGGGGTTGTTCCTCCCCAGGTGCAGGACCTGCACTTGCCCTTGCTGACTTTCAGACAGTTCTTCTCTGCCCATCTCTCCAACCTGAGGAGATGCTTCTGAGGGGCAGCACAGCCCTCTGGGGTATTGGCCACTCCTCCCAGCTTTATGTCATCAGTGAATTTGCTGAGGAGGCATCTGTCCCCTCATCCAAGTCATGGGTGAACAAGTTAAACAATACTGGGCCCAGCATTGAACCTTGGGGGACACCACTAGTGACAGGCCTCCAGCTAGACCCTGTGCCACTGATTATGATCCCCTGGGATCTGCTGTCCACCTCACTGTCCACTCATCCGGCCCAAACTTCCTGAGTTTGCCTATGAGGATGTTGTGAGAGGCAGTGTCCAAGTGCTGAAGTTGAGGTCAACAATACCCACTGCTCTCCCCTCATCCATCTAGGTAGAGAGTGCTTCATCACAGGAAGCAATCAGGTTGGTCAAGCATTACTTTTGTCCTCTATAAAGATACAGATGACAGGGATTGAGGTGAGGCTGACTTACGAGGATGATTCACTGGGAATGATTTTACAGGCAGGAAAGGGACACTGATGTACTCTCAGAGGTGAAGGCTGTTCTTCACGGAGTAACTTAGTAAAGAACAGCAAAGCTTAGGCAGATAGGGAAATTAATTTTCAAATGAGAAATTTCTCAGTAAGTATTTACCTCTGATAACTACTGAATGGTAGTTTAAAGAACTATATTGTAAATAATTGCTCATAAGGAAGATGTTTTAAGAGTATAATTAAGATTTTCCAGTAAAATCTAATAAAGTGGCTGAGAGCACTCCTTCTAAACAATAATAATGGATTTATTGCATAACGAAAGTTCTCTATGCAGACAGTATGCGGAGTTTTCTCCGGAAGCAGATCTGAGACTGGGATCAAAACAGAAGCAGCTTCTGGGACAACCTCTTGACTGTTTCAGCAGGCATGTACAGTGACAAGCCCAAAGTATTCCCCAGAACACTGCCAGACCCCTACTGGAATGGTAGCGCGCTCGCCCCACCCGCGGCCGGGGCGGGCGCAGGGGGCGGGGCGGGGGCGGGGCGGGGGCCGGAAGCGGCGCGGCCGCGGGGTCAAAGCACTGCCCCGGATCCCCCAATCCCGGGGATTTTTCGATCCCGTGGGTCTTTCAGCCCTCGCGCTGCGGATTCCGCCGGCAATGGATGCGCGGGCGCGCGCCAAACGCTACGAGAAGCTCGACTTCCTGGGGGAGGGGCAGGTGAGCAGCCCGTGTGGCCGCCCGGCCGTGGCGGGAGCGGCGCACAACGGGCCTGCGGAGTGCGTGGGGGCCTCCCCTCACACGGCACGTCAGCCCTGCTCACGGCAGCATCTCTCTCCCCCCCCCCGCTCTCTCTTTCTCTCTCCCTCTCCCTCCCTCCCTCCTTCCCTCCCCCTCCCTCCCTCCTT